AAAAAAAGGAACAAGAGTTTAATACTTCTGCATTAAAGTTCTGTCAAAAAATCAAAAAATTATTTTTTTATATTTCAAAATTGATATATTTTTAGGAGACTTTTGTGCCAATTGTCAGTCATATTTTTTTGGCGACAGATAATTTCAAAAAGTATCGAGCAGATGTCGTGTTCGACAAATTTGAAACACAAATTGTTTCATCTCGTATGTATCTGGAACTGACCGCAAAAGGAATAAGAGAAAGGTTACATGTAGCTAATTCTATTTAATTCATACGTTCAATAAAACTTTTTTTGGCTAAGTAATCAATGATTTGTTGTAGAGTTGATGCATATTGTCGGGAGTAATAAGCGAAAAATAGAATTTTAGAATGACGCTTATTGATACTCTTCTGGCTCGCGCTCGAGCTATGGAAATTCCGCTGTTTATAAAGGCACCGTTTGCATTTAACATACAACATGACGTTCAGGTAGAAATACTTGAAACTCTCAATTTATTGTTACATATTTAATGACTGTAAACAATTTGATCTTTGATTATATGACTAATTCACGCTAAAAACTAAAAATAAGTCTTTGTCTAGGTGACTTCTACAGTACTTTTCGCGTTCGGAATTTTCATGAGCTGCGTATGTGCCTTTACACTGTTGCTTTATGGACTACCGGCATTAACGGCTTTGGTGGTTCTTTCAAACATATCAGTAATCGTCGGCGTTATCGGCTATGCGTCTCACTGGAATATCCCGTTGAACATTATTACTTTCTCAGTCGCTTTAAGTGGTAATTAATTTTTTAACTTGCAGTAGCTGTTTCTTAAATTGTTTCTTTAATCTCATTAACATTTTAACCAGTTTAGAAAGTATCGAATGCTGTTCCAGGTAACGCTTTAACGACAGTAATCGTGGCTTACTTTTGTTATTATTACGTTAATGCTGGTAATCTTCAAAAATCTGGAGAATCAAAAGTTCGCTACTCATTTCAGGTTTGTTTGTCTTCCACCTTATTATGCTTCTAGCTTTTCAAAGTCGTTTTTATAACAGTGTATGAAAAACAGTTTTTATTATGTCTGGGGAAATATTTATAGCAACTTCTTTGAAAGAAGTTTACTTTTTTAGAAATTCATACGTTTGAATCAAACATTTTGTTTAGTCTTGTTTGCTGCCTGTCACCTTCGCTTGCTTTGTTCCGCTGCTCACCTATACTCCGCTCCTCACTTTTGACATACCAGTCGTTTTTCATATTTGCAAGATGCTTTTGCTGACTTCAGTTATAACATTTGCACATTTCTTGTTGTTCTCACCCAGGTAATGCTCACTTCTACGTTTTGGAACCTTTTTTTTTTAATCTTATTTTTACAATTTTCATTTTTTACTGCTACAGAAGTTGATTATCTACAAGAAAAAAAGTTAATTTTGCTTGAAGTTTTTCTTTTTTTTAGTGTAATGATGTTCTTTGCGGAACAGATTCCCGCATTTTGTTCCACTGTACGATCCGCCTGTGAAGACTGTTGTTGTCAGTGTTTTGAGGTGGAAGAAAACTCTGGCAGTATCTATTATATTCCTACTGGAGGTCATAACAAAATGAGTGACTATCAGGAAAGGTTAGAACTTTAACGGCAATTAGTGATGTGCTATTTTTCTTTTCTACAACTTTATATAGCTAAATTGTGCAAACTTTTTAAGCTTTTGAAGTTACTAATGTATTTTTTTAAACAAATTTTTGCTATTTAGAAATTATCCTTATCTTGTGGCACCTCCACCTCTGCAACGGATGATTATGCAACCACCTCCTGGATACTTGCAAGTCTCTTCTTCAATGATGGCTCCAGATGTTCTGCCGTACCGTTCCATAGAGCCTCCACATGGCCGTGGTCAGCACAGAGAAAGGAGGCGAAGACACGACAGCCATTCTGAGGTTTTGTCTTTTATTTTTCTGGGAATTTTTTTTTTGTAAAAATTAAAACCAGAATTATTCTAGCGTTCTGTCAGCACAGCAGCTTCCCCACGTTTGGTAAGGTCTGCTCATCCAACTCCGTTGGTTGACAGAAAAGTTTGCTCAAAAAAAGGTCATTCAGAGAGTCGTTCACTGACTGATTCCATCTATGAGGCTCCACCTTCTCCAGTAAATTTTTTTTGCTTTTTGCTTATGTGTTCTTTTTGACATATTATTTTTGAAAACCATCTGCTGAGAAAGTAAATTATGAAATTTTGTATCAAATTACTTACCTTATTTTTTAGTCCTACGAAAAAATCTACAGAAAAGAAGTGGAAATTATGCCTGGACGTAGGAGAGAACTGTATCGACCAAGCTATGAAACAAATGATTTATCAATGTCAAGAAGGCGTTATCATGATAAATTTCGAGACGATGAGTTGGTAAAACTTTGACAATGCAGTTAGAACAAAAATTATTTACTTTTTTAAATGTAATTCAGAGTAAAGCTGATTAATAAGCTTAGTTTAAAATTTTAATAATACTATTCTTTTTTTTTTTTTAGTTTTTCTGTACCATTAAAAATAATTTACTAATGCCACATATTTTACTGCTTAATATAATTTTTGTTTGACTGTTTTAGCTGTGTTCGAAAAATGAATCTGATTTGGGTTACAGGATCAAAATCCGTCTTTAGAAATGCGTTCTAACTGGCGACAGTATTTGATTGAAGGAAATCTTCGGCAAACAAATAATCTTTTAAAGCCAGCTTCAATGTCTTTCCACTCAACGTATTCACCATCTTCAAATTATTATTTTCGGGACACCAAACGCTTCTAAACCAAAATTTTTAATGTCTGTTCGTATAAATAAACAAAAATTTTATAGTTGTTATATATATATATATTTTTTTGCTTAGCTTTTAAAGTTCTACTGTAACTATAATAATTAATTCGC